CGGCCGGGCGGTGAGGCGGGAGGTGTCCGTGATGCTTCCCCTGTGAGGGGAGCTGGTGCCCGGAGCGCTCTTATCATGTCTGCTATTAATAATAGCAGCTTAATTAATAAAGGGTGTTTAATAAATATTAGCTGTGATCTGTGTCTGCCCCGGCTTAGTCCGGTATAAGGAAAAAGGGCATTTTCCAGCAGATATGCCGGGCACTCTCCTGCCTCTAGGGAGCAGCCTGGGAGCAGGGCTGGGAATCCAGACTTGAAACATGGCATCTGGGAACAGGCGTCGTGACTGGCACAGGCAAAAACAGCAGGGTATTGTGCTGTAACTAGGGCATCTAGTTTTGTAATTGCAGCCAGTAGTAAAACAGGAATAAAAACAAACAAACAAAAAACCCAAAAAGCTAAAGCCTAATCATTCCAAAGCTTTAAAATCTTCCCCTTTTAGGCCTCATATTTCAAATTTATTTTGACTGTTACTTCACATGCGGTCATGAAGTGACTTGCTTCTTTGCTAGGAGAGATGCCATGTTAGTGGAGGTGTTTTTTTAAGGTGAGGCTCATTTCTGACCGTGGGGAAGCTGAAGTAGGCTGTTTCCTAACTGCATTGTCTGTGGGAGTTAGGAGCTGCGCTTGCGCACTGATGGTAGGAAGAAACAAAGGAAAATGTTCCTGCTAAATTTCAAGCACCTATCTTAGACCGGGAAGACACCAGAGTGAAAAAGCTGTTAGCAATTTTGAATGTAACCAAGCAATATATTATTTACTTGCTTCTGGAATCTGACTTTAACATAGAAAATTTCAGGCCACATGATTTAAGTCTAACAGAAGCCATATGTGTGTTATTACCCTGTGCATGGTTCTTTACCTGAGCTAGCTGTTTTGGTTGTATTCTAGGTGCCAGGAACGGTATAGATATTTTATCAGGAGGCTCTGATAGACCTAATTTACGTTTTTTCTTAGTTGTTTGGCTGTGCCTGTGCTAATTGTGAATCAATTTTCTCTGACACACCCCAAACCGCAGATCATAGGAAAGTGATAGTAAACTTTGTGCTTAGTTAGTGGTGGCCCTACCCAGCACAGTCTTGGAAGATGCATTTGTTTCTCAGCTGCGTTTAGCTCTGAAGTATTTCTAGAAAATTGTTATTTTTTACGATTTCTAGAGCAAAACTTGTCTAGGAATTCTGTGTTCCTGACTAGTGACTTACCTGCTCTTCAGTCCCTTTCTCTACCTGGTGACCTGGAAGAGAGATGAGACTACCACAGATCAGCTTCTGAGACAATTTCTCTCTTCAAATAAACATGAGGATGACATTCATTAGAGAGTATGATGTAGCATGCAGATGAATGAGCATAGTAGATGTGGTTTGAGCTGGTGGGGAGGGCCCTAAACATTGGTTTAGACAGATGGTAGCTTGAGCTCAGGTAATTGTAGATGACATTGAATTATGTTATGTGGATATATGCAAGGTTTATAAGGAAATAAAAAACAGTTTTATGATGGAAAGTGACACTCAGCTTTGTTTCTAAGCAGTGCTGAAAGCACTGATAACTTTATATGCATTTGCAGGATGAATTTACCTCAAAAAGATAGAGTGATTCCAGCCCTGCCTGTAGTATCATGTTGTGCAGTTCATATGCATTTAAGGACATAGGAGCTGCCGTAATGGTTCAGATCAAGTGTCCATCTATTTCAGCTGACCATCAGTGCAATTCCATGTCCTCAAAATTCCTCATGAAGTTCAAAAAAGGTACATGCGAAGTCTTGTATCTGATGTGGAATTGCCCCTCCACAGTCAATACAGGCTGGAGGCTGACGAAGAAAGCAGCCTTACAGAAAACGACCCCTGTGAACTACAGGCTGACCATAAATCAGCAGTGTACCCTTGGGGCTATGAAGGCTAACAGCCTGCTGGGCTGCACTGGGGAGAATGGTTGGCTGACAGGCCAAGGGAAGAAGTTATTTGCATTTACTCATCATGTATGAGAGCTCATCTGAAGCATTGTGACCGGTTTTGGGCTCCTCAGTAGAGGAAGGATGTCGACAAACTGGAGTGAAACCAGTGGAGACCAATAGATGGTCAGGGAGCTGGAGCCCATGACATAAAGGAGAGCTCAAGAGAGCTGGGTTTGTTCAGCCAGAAGAAGAAAAGACTAAGGGAGAGTTATAGCTGTCTTCAACTGCTTAGCAGGTGATTTGGAAGAGATAAAGCCAGACTATTCTCAGAGGTGCACAGCAAAAGGCAATGGACACCAGTTACAGAAAGGGAAACTATTAATTGAATATAAGGAGTTTTTTTTTTTTTTACCACGCAGGTGATCAGATACAGGCACAATTTGCCCATGGAGGCTGTGAAACCTCCATCCTTGGGGGGATTCATAACTCAACTGGGCAAGGCCATGAGCAATTCAATGTACTTGATGCATATGCTTTGAGATGAAGATTGGCCTAAATGACCTTCAGGGGTCTCTTAAAGCCTAAGTTTTTCTGTGAAATAAATACTTAAACAGAAAAAGAAAACACTAAAACAAAAGAGTGGCCATAAGTGGATGCCTGGGTAAGAGTGGGAACAGTATATGATTCTTTATCTCAGAGCTCTCCTACTACAGTTTGGTTCATTCTTAAATATCTAGTTTAATCAGAATATAGATATAGATTAAATAAATCATCTGAAAGACTGCTGAAATACAGGTCAGTCGTGGGTAGATTTAAATGATGAGGTGATAGATTGCTTTTATTTCTGTAAGAGCACACTCTGAGAATAGTTTATATGGATCACTTGAAATGATGCTTCCTAAAGAGAACAATTTAAATCAGTCAGTAGAGAGCGCTCAGCATTTTCAGTAGTTCAGCATCTTCAGAAATAGGCCTAGGTAATCTCTTTTGCCATCATCATCTTCATCTTTGTTTGCAAGAGATACGCTGTGGTGAGCTGTATCAAGGGATTTCAATCTAAACGACCACTGTAGGCTTACTTTTTTTTGTCTGCACTTTTACAGGAATGGCTTTTCCTCAAATCTCTGCTTTTTTTTTTCTGCTTTAATAACGTGCAAATGTTTTACACGAGCTAGGCAATATATAATATATAACATGTATGTGTGTGTGTGTACATATATATATATATGCAAGTTAATTAAAATGTCGTTCAGATCTTTGCCTCTCAAAACCTTGGAGGGATCCCAAACTAAATTGTAAAAGTTAGCAAACATGAGTCCCTGGGGACTATGAGGTTGTGAATGAAATATACGGAATTCTCTAAAACCACTCGCCAGTATGCAAATAAATTTTGTTGACTTATTCCAAATGCCATTTTGACTGTAAACCGGTTAATTATCTGATGATGTCATTCTGTGTGGACACAGTGCTTTAAGTCAGCAGTCCCCTAAACACTGACAAGCACAGTAAATCACTGTTGTGAAAAAGATATTAGATAGCTTATCATACTAATAAAAACTTTTGTCATAGAGGAGTAGAAGGTCTTATCTGTGATGTTTATCTTGTTATGAATTCAAACACCACAGTTATTTGCAGATCATTTGTCCTCAAGCAAAGTGAGGAAATGGCACTAACAACCATGTGTCAGAAGGTAATATTCCAGCCTTTTAAAATTAGATCTGTTATTGACCTAAGAATAAATTAGCAGTCTGTTAAGGTGTGAGGACCATCTTCATTGTGTGCTCAAAGTTGCTAGATTTGAGCTACAGGTGAAGGTAATGCACCTAACATCCTAGACAATAGATCAGCATGAAACAGTTGAAAAGAAGAACTTGCCCTTGAGAAGATCAAATCTGCTATTCCACACTCCCAGAGGGGTATGGAATAAAGTACTGGTTAAAAATATGGCCCTGGGAGGGAAGCGGCCTACCAATTCAAAGATATAGAAACAGGTACAGGTATCAGTAGTGACTTACATTTGACTGTAAAACTGTGGCCATCCTGAACATGACTTTTTTCACTGCCCTTCAGTGTGAGCAGTCATTGCATGAGTGTAATCATTAAGTGCTACCTTCCTAGTTTACCTTATTCTTACGCTGAATGAGGATATCCAAGGACCCAGAAAACCTTGTTTATTTTATGGGACACAATTTAACATTTCCTAACCTCAACGATGTTACAGGAAGGCCCCCAAGTCAAGTCTAAGGGAAGGTTTTAGGGAAGGAGTTGAAGTGATTAAAACTGCATTGTGCTATGGGAGGGTCAGCTGCAATGGGGACAGGTATGTTGGAAGTAGGTAGACAGATGATGAATTGGCTTAAGTTGACTGGAAGTTCGGTTTGTTAAGCAGTGGTTCACAAAATAAGTTGACAAGAGTAGTCAGAAGAGAATAGTACCAGGAAAATACCTGGCTCTTTAAAGACAAATGCTAACAAGACTGTGCTTTAGAGTGGTTTATAGCTAAACCGATCCCTGCTGTGACATATTACAATAAAGCTGGGCATTGCAGAACTGCAGTTATTCAGACATGTTGATTACAGCAGTAAGATGCTGCTTGTTCAGTGGAGAGGAAAAATAAATTAAAATGCTAATGGAGTATTATATCATGCTCCTTTGTGGCGCTTGGAATAGTGGCCGCTTCATTAAATAGCAGCAACATGTTTTCCAGAATCAGAAAAACAAATGGCAACATAAAAAAGTACAGCAGCCTCAATATCTTGTCCCAGATCTGTTGGAAAAGCCTACTATGGATGATAACTCTTCTGATCCTTGTGGCTGACTTGTGAAATATTACAATCTTTCTGAATGATAGGGCAGAAGGGAATAAGCAAAGGGAAATGATCTGCCTTTTA